TACTACCCCAGGGGACAGCCTGAGGCTCTGTCTCAAAAAAAAAGTTTCAAACCCTGCTTTCAAGTTACCATAGTGCTCGAGCATTAGGTTAATCCCCTTGACTTAGGATTGTTCATACATTTAAATACATGCGTGCACTTGTTGGTAGCATTAGGGTGTTTTGTCCACAAACCACAACAAATCAGAGCCCCACTTGCAACCTCTAGATGTCTCCCTCCCAATTTTCTGAAGAAAAAAATCAAGAAGGCAGCTATGCTCACAGCAGAAGGAAAAGTGTTGTTTTATAACCTGAGAACATGCAAAGAAAATCGGTGATAACCACAGAATTAGATATGACCTGTGAAATTAACATGTTAGGATGGCAAGAGTGGCAATCATCTCAGGACAGAGTAATTTCTGATTCATATTAATATCTCCTTTCCATATCTTGCTTATGCTAAACCAACAAACATATGTACTCTGAAAGCATCAATCATGAAAATTCCTTTATCATCATTTCAACAATGAGTAACAATTACCAAGGCTTGCTTCTGATAGTAACTTTTTCAATGGATAGATATTACTTACTGATCTTCTGAAAAAGGCTTTCCACTGAGCATATTTTTACCAGAAGGAGCATAGTTCCAAAGTACTTCTTCAATGCTTATGTAGTAGTGTCTATCTTTTGCCCAGCCTAGAGAACTAATGAAAAACAGAAAGATCAGTGGTAAAAGGGCATTCATTTTTAAATTCTGTGCCTGGAGAAGCTATCTAAGTAGGTCTTGTCTGTCTTTTACAGTCCAGGCTTTCTCCTTTTGTTTGTCTATTTATATAAATCAGAGTTGCATAACAGCCTATCATCTGTTTCATCCATGTTTATGTCATTTGCATTCTAAATACATTTGGTTTTCTTTCTTTCTTTCTTTTTTTTTTTTTTGAGACAGAGTTGCACTCTATCGCCCTTGGTAAAGTGCTGTGGTGTCACAGCTCACAGCGACCTCCAGCTTCTGGGTTTAGGTGATGCTCTTGCCTCAGCCTCCCAAGTAGCTGGGACTACAGGTGCCCACCACAATGCCCAGCTATTTTTTGTTGCAGTTTGGCCGGGGCCAGGTTCAAACCCACCACCCTCAGTATATGGGGCCAGCATCCTACCCACTGAGCCACAGGTGCTGCCCTGCATTTGGTTTTCATTGTCAGGCCAGGTGAAGCCTTGCACAACATCCTGGAGAGATGGGTTGCCCAGATCATCCACCATCCTCTGACAACTATTATCTATTATAAACTAGCTCTATTCCTAAATTACAGGAATAGTTTCCTGTCTAGTCCCCAGCCCCTATTTTCTTGCTGGTTTAGTCCATCTTGCATAAAATTCCCAGAACAGTCTTCATTAAGTATTACTTTTATCAAAAGATCATATTTGAATTCTTTGTTGTTTAAAACTTTCTTTAAATTTTTCTCAAATTTCTTGACATTTCAGATTATCCATGATCTAGGTCCCAATCTGATATCCCAATTTTGTCTCCAAAATTCACATTCAGGATCCCTTCCCTCTGGAGAGTTGTCTTGTTGGGGTCCTGGTGTGTTGTGAGGGAGAAGGCAGGGGCCCTGGAATCAGGCGGCTCTGGGTTTGACCCTTAGCTCTACTGCTTTTCACATATGATTGTTTAACTCAACTTTTTCATTTATAAAATTATACTAATATTACTTACCCAATTAGGAAGCTGTAAAAATTAAAATAAGACAGCACATGCTGTAGGTCTTGGGGACACACACGTCAATGCACAGTCTACATTTAACGAGTGTTAATCAACAGTACACCCCTTTCCCCATCGTTGGAGGAGGCTTCCTGAATTCATCTGATTCTCTTCACCATTCCCCAGCCTCGTATTCCCTCCGCTGGCCTCTCTTTTTCTTGGCTAATCCACTTTTTTCCCATTCTTCAAGACGACACTGAAACTTCTGTTTCTCAGGGAAGTCTTCCCTGGCCACTTCTGCTTCCAGACACCCCCTTTCTGAATTCATCAGCCACAGCACTTTGGCAATTAACCACTTCCGGCTTCATACTGTCGCTTAAATTATCATGCTGTATTTTGCTTCCTTCCATAGATTATAAATCCTATATGGTTGGAGGGCACTTGTTCTTTAATACCTTCTAGAGGTAACAAGAAATGATTGTTGCATTTTTTTTTTTTTTGAACAAACAAATAGAGTGCCGTGGCTGGGATTATACTCAGCAAAGGAAGGAGAGGGACTTCTTATACGCTGTTCATCTGATCTCTCCATTATCATGTATTGGAATATCCATTGCTATTAGGTGTTTTTTTGATATTTTACAATTATGAACAGATAGATTGGTACTCTGGGTTATGTTTAGAAATGAAGAATTAGAAGTAGACAAAGACAGCACATATGATATGTATGATTCGGTAGCTTGCTTTTAGCCCTTGGTGACATATCTCAGAGACCTTTATATGTCAGTACCTAGTAGAAGGCTACTTCTTTCATTTTGACTGTACCATAGTTTTTCCTACTATACATGTACTATAGTTTTTTCAAAAAGCACAAAATTAAAGTCTGTTTCTTCTTTGTGTACATCCAGATGTCTGCACATACTTAAGAAAATGTCAAATGCTCCAACTGCAGCCACTTCTTATTATCAAAGCAATGTTGAAGAATTGGATGAAGAGAACACATACAATGTAGTAAGCAACATATGTTTAAAAGACATTTAGTTTAAAGACAGACCAGATTCTTCGGGGTGAACCACATAGTTTCCAGTGCCACTTGAAGAGCTACTTTAGCTTTTGTGCCTTAGATCAATTCTTAAGATTGCGGATTGCTCACACACTTAATTTGTGTAACAGCCAAGAGGCTTTGGCAGATGTAAATGTCACCAGCACATGTTGGAGGGAATCCAGAGAAACTAGACCTGGAGGAACCTTGGCAGGAGAAGAAACAGCCTACCGGAGAGCCAAAAGGAAGGGATTCACATCCTGCACCTTGAGGGCAACAACTGAAAGCGCTGGGGACAACTGTCACAGGAGAGACAGTTGAGGCTTTCTGCCCCAAGGAAGAGACACAACTGGGTTGAAATAGTTGCGAGCTCTAGGCCCACAGATTTGGCTCTGTATTTGGAAGACCTCGAGGCACAGCCTGTCACAGTGGCCTTGATCCTGCAGCTATAGAAGGATTCCCCCACCAGGTGGGGCTGGGATCCCTTAAGTGATGTCCCTTTATCCCCAAATTCTATGGTTTCCCCTTTATCCTCACAGGAACACCAATTTTACCTTGGAACATGGGTAATAAAGGATCCGTTCAGCTGGCATCCCCCCCCCAACACATGACATATCCTAACAAGTGCAAAGAAGTCCAGTGTATTTAAATCAAACAGATCCACCTCCAGTCCTGCTCTACCATTGACTACCTGTGTGATTCAGGGTGAGGCATAATCATTCTGAAACTGTGCCCTTTTCGCTGTAATATGAGTGTAACAGTAATTAAAGTTCAGGGCTCCTCAGAGCACCCAGCCTTCGGTGTGACACAGAGTAGGCACTCAGAGAGAGTTAGTTACCTCCACTTAGACAATGAAAATGGTAGAAAATGTAACTGGGAAATATTTGGGTTTTGTTTCCTTCTCAAATGACAACTAGAATATTAGCTTCTAGTTCTTTTTCTTGGCGGGGGCAGGGGTGGAGGGGTCAAGCACACCCCAAGACTGGTGGGTTCGAACCTGGCCTGGGCCAGCTAAACAACAATGACAACTGCAACAACAACAAAATAGCCAGGCATTGTGCCAAGCAACTGTAATCCCAGCTACTTGGGAGGCTAAGGTAAGAGAATTGCTTAAACCCATGAGTTTGAGGTTGCTATGAGCTGTGACACCATTGCACTCTACTGAGGGTGACATAGTATGACTCTGTCTCAAAAAAAAAAAATCAAGTGATCAGAATAGAAGAATATATCTCACTGAGGGGGGATGTTTGAGTTAAGACTTAGAGGAGAAGAGCGTCATGAAGACGTCTGAAGGAAGAAGATTCTGGGTTGGGGAAGAGTCTGTAGAAGGGCCTTATGGTGCTAGTCCGACTGCTATGTAGAAAAACAGCAAGATGGGGGTGGCGCCTGTGGCTCAAAGGAGTAGGGCATGGGCCCCATATGCTGCAGGTGGTGGGTTCAAACCTGGCCCCAGCCAAGAGAAAAAAACAGCAAGATGGAAAACCCAGCTGGAGCAGGGTAAGCATAAGAGGGAAGTGTAAGAGGTAAGGAAAAAGAGGTAGCAGGAGGTAACCTCATGAAGGAGCTTTGAAAGCCGTAGAAAGGATGATGGTTTTTACTCTGCCTGAAATATGGACCCAGTGCAAAAGCTAAGAGCAGTGCAATTTCCTGATTGGACTTGTGTTTTGCAAGGACCCCTCAGGCTGCTTTGCTAAGAAGAGACTGAGGGGAAGTGGAATCGGGAAGGCTGTTTAGGAGACCATTGCTGTTGCTAGAACCAGGGAAGGACCAGCAGAGACCATGACAAATGGCCAGACTTAGGATAGACTTTGAACAGGGGACAGATTAGACGTGAAGGGTGAGGGGGAGAGGAGCCCAGATTTTTGGCCTGGACGACGGGAAGACTGGACTTGCTATTAATGAAACGAGGAAGGCAGTGATTAGACAGGCTTTAGGGGGTGAGCAAGATCAGTTGTTTCATTATTCTTACTCTTATCCTTATTTCTGTATAGGTAGGGTCTTTTTCAAGATTTTCTTTGTTTTTGGTTTTCTGCAGTTTGAATATGATATGCCTAGGTGCAGGAGTTGTTTTTTTTTTTTTTAGTATTCAGTGTTCTCTAAGCTTCCTGGATCTAGAGTTTGATGTTTGTCATTAATTTTGGAATGTTCTTAGCCATTATTACTCCAGATGTTTATTTTAGTCCATTTTTTTCTCTCTCTGGTACTCTGATTTCATGCCTTAATTTACCTTCCAGTCCCCTGATTTCTTCCCTGGCTATTTCTAGCCCCTGGATGCATCAAAATTATTTCTCATTTTTGCTGAGAGAGAAGACCCTGAAAAAGGTCTAAAAGAACAGATGTCTTCTCAAGGAGACTCCAAAATACACCTGCAAGGTCCTCCCCATGGTGACTCAGCTCTTAAGAATTTATAAAAAATGTAACCTCCTGGGACTTGGAGGCTGACACTTACTTCTGCTTCTGTGAAAGCCCATGATTCTGTAAAAGCCAGAGCTGACATCTCCAGCTTGATTCAAACTGACCAATGAGAAAGGTACCTGTGGGCTGGAACTTTTTTTTTTATTTTTTATTTTTGAGACAGTCTCGAGCTGTCACCCTGGATAGAGTGCTATGGCATCATAGCTCTCAGCAACCTCCAACTCATGGGCTCAAGCGATCCTCTTGCCTCAGTTTTTCTATTTTTAGTAGATTCAGGGTCTCACTTTTTTGATCAGGCTGGTCTTGAACTCGTGAGCTCTAGCAATCTACCCACCTCGGCCTCCCAGAATGCTAGGATTACAGACATTAGCCACCACGCCCGGCCTGTAAGTTTTTTCTTAAAGATAAGAGATTGTACTGGGTAATAGCAACTGAGGTAAGCAGTCTATAGGTGAGTGTTGCTCAATGCTGCTATGGCAGTAAGTGCCAGAGGCTCATCTTTCTGGCCCATAACCTTGGGAAGTGCTTCCTCTTGCATGGCACTCCTTGGCTCCAATAGAACAGGAGAGACACAGGGGTCTGGCATGAGAGAAAT